CAGAAGTGGTGCTGTGGCTCAAGTGGTAGAGCGCTAGCCTTGAGCTGAAGAGCTGAGGGACAGCGCCCAGGCCCAGAGTTCAGGCCCCAGGACTGACAAATAAAAAAAAAAAAGGAGCTGGGCACAGTGGTTCATGCCTGTATTACTAATTGAGAGGCTCACAATTCAAGGCCAACCCAGGAAGAGTTCTCAAGACTCCATCTCAACTAGTAAAATGCTAGGTACAGTGGTATGTGCTTGCCATCTCAGCTACTCAGAAGCCTAAATGGAAGCATAATCAGCAAAAAGACCCTATTTGAAAAATACTAAAAGCAAAAAGGGCTGGTGCATGGCTCAGGTGGTAGAGCACCTGCCTAGCAAACATGAAGCTATGAGTTCAAATCCACAGAAATGAAGGGAAGGGAGGGGAAAGGGACATGGAGAGAAGAGGAGAGGAGAAGGGAGCCAGATAGGGGGAAGAAGACAAGAGAAGAGGGGGATGGGGGAAGAGAAGAAAGGGAAGGGGGAGAGGAGTCAAAACAAACAGTAACATAAGCCTATCAAGCATTCCATGGTGTTAAAATCATGACACAGATACAGGTTGCCTGAGAGGCAGCTTTTCATGACAGTTAGTAACTATGGTACTATGTAGTGCATTTTCTAAGTTTTTGAAGGCATGGCCAAACTAGGCAAGAAATAGAAAACCTAACCATTTTTAGGTATGAACATATGTGAACTGTATAATAATAAATTTTAAATTAATGTACATTAACTTATGAAAATGAAACTTAAAGCCATCACTTTCAAGATGACCTGAAATGCAACCCACATAAACTAAAATGATGAATTAATGTGCAACACTAGGCCACATTAAGTGCCAGAAGTTATAGTAAATCTGAAGTAATATGAAATCAATCCATTTCTCCTAGCACATTTTTGAGTTAATGCTATTAAAGAGCAACAGGAAATAAAAAAGTCATGTTACATAAACAAACGATAGCTGCCAGAACAGAAATTGTCTTCAATGGAGCTGGGTGCCAGTGGCTCACTCCTGTAAATCCTAGATACTCAGGAGACTGAGATCTGAGGACCAAGGTCCAAAGCCAGCCCAGGCAGGAAAGTCAGTGAAACTCTTCTCTCCAATTAACCACAAAAAGCAAAAAGTGGACCTATGGCTCAAGTGGTAGAGCACTAGCCTTGAACACAAAAGTTCAGGGACAGTGCTCAGGCCAGAGTGCAAGCCCCAGAATGGGGGTGGGGAGAAGAGAGGACAATGGGTAGGACCATTTAACCTTCTTAGAATCTCAGCCAAGAGAGGCAAACTGCAGAACAAAAGAGCCATGCCATTTAGCAGGCACACTTGAGCAGAGTGGAAGACATCATTTACTGCTCAGCCAGCTGTGAAGCCCATAAATAAAACAGATAATACAGATACACCGTAGGCCTCCTATCTCAAGCAGGCAGACCCAGCTGAGAATGAATATACTTCCAGTACTAGAGGAGCAGTAGACTTAAGATGACGCTTAACCAAGGGAATATGTTTAGATGGGCTATGTTATTTGAAATTCCAGGCTACTGTAAGAAAGAGTAGACGCTGTTTAATTGTGCACAGCATGAAATCACCAACAGCAATTAGCAGCGTCTTGGGTAAGAGCTGGTCTGCCCACTTACCGTTCTCCACGTAAGGATGAAAGGGCAGAACCAGAGCTAGGATGACCCTGCCTCTAGTTGGCTCCAAGACACTTCGGATATCTTTTAACAGAGTCAGGGGCTGATCGCAGCGGTCCAGCAAATTCAAGCAGCTGATGACGTCATACTGGAAGCCTGTATTCTGCCATTCATTTATACCAAGCACTCTGGAGAATGAGAAAGAACTTAATAGTTAGGATTTCTCTCCTTAAAAACAGCTTTAAAAACAACTGACATGCAAATAAAGGCCCTAACTTGTCTCCTAAATCAAATAAAAACCAACTATGTATTTAGATCATTTATATTTACAGCAAAACAAAGGCTAGACAAGAGAAAAATGACAACCACATTTCTTTAAATCTACCATTCCACCTGTTTACAAATAATAAACTTACAAAGCCTCTTTTAAGAGAGCCACTCATAAATAGCCAGGCACTAAGTAGCCAGCACTCAGGAGGCTAAGATCTGAGGATCGCCATTCAAAGCCAGCCTGGACAGAAAAGTCCGTGAAGACTCTTATTTCCAATTAACCACCAGAAAACTGTAAGTGGCGCTGTGGCTCAAGTGGTAGAGTGCTCACCTTGAGCAAAAGAGCTCAGGGACAGGCCCTGAATTCAAGCCCATGATTGAAAAAAAAAAATCACTGTCAAATAGGTAGGCACTGGTGGCTCATGCATATAATTGTAGCTACTTAGGAAGCTGAGCGCTGAGGACTGCAGGTTCAAAGGCAGACAAACTGGCAAGATGCTTATCTCCAATTATCTAGCAAAAACCCAGAACAGCAGCTGGGAGTTAAAGCCAAGCAAGAGTATGAGACCTGGAGTTCAAGCCCCAGTGCTGGCACACACACTCCTCCCCACCCCAACCCCGGCTAAAAAAAAAAAAGGACCACAGTTGTGGCTCAGCAAGACCCTGAGTTCAAACCCCTGTACTGCCAAAAAGAGAAAAAAGGAAGCATCATTATGTAGGGTCCTAGCTACGGCTCCATTAAGGCAATTCAATGAGCTACTGACTCCTGTTTGGTTCTGCCACGCAGAATATATGACAGGTGTGGTAGTGATCGATGAAAAGGGCACACAAAGAATGATCTTTGAAAACAAGATTTTAGTAACACTGAATGGCTACAAGAGCGATCTTAGAAAGTTCTAAAAGCATACTTTAGAATGAGGACTGTTTTGAAAAACTCATTAGCAGAATGCTATTTGATGGCCCTTGTGAGAAGTACAAGGAAAAGGAACCCAAACCACTCAGGTGCATCTTCTTTTCCATCTATACTCATAAAACTAAGGTCTCCTCCAAGCCAAGCCTAACAAACTTCAAGAACCTAGTTGGATTCTTTAGTTGTACAAGTGTGTAACGGTACTCTGAGACAAATGGGACATTAAGACTTCAAAATCACTTGGTCGCCGGGCGCTGGTGGCTCACACCTGTAATCCTAACTACTCAGGAGGCTGAGATCTGAGGATTATGGTTCAAAGTCAGCCTGGGCAGGAAAGTCTGTGAGACTCTTACCTCCAATTAGCTTAAGTGGTTGAGCATTAGCTTTGAGCTAAAGAAGCTCAGGGACAGCAACTAGGTCCTGAGTTCAAGCCCCAGGACTGGCCAAAAAAAAAAAGGCAGGGGGAGGGAATAGCCAGGTGCTGGTAAGTCATGCCTATAATCCTAGCTACTCAGGAGGCTGAGATCTGAGGATCAAGCCAGCCCAGACAAGAAAGTCCCCATGAGACTCTATCTCCAATCAACCACCAGAAAACTAGAAGTGGAGCTGTGGCTCAAAGTGGTAGAGCATTAGCCTTGAGCAAAAAGAGCTCAGGAACAGTGCGCCATAACCAAAAAAAAAAAAAAAAAGCAGATATGGTATGGGACCAGCAATTGCACTGCTGCACACACAACCCAACAGTGAAAGCAGGCCTGCATACCTATGTTCGCACTGACTCACAATGACAAATGGGAGAAGGTGAATGTCAATCAGAAAATGAATGTACAGGGGCTGGGAAGGTGGCTCAGTGGTAGATTGCTTGCCTTGCATGCATGAGGCCCTGGGTTCGATTCCTCAGCACCACATAAGCAAAAAGAAAAAAGCTGGAAATGGCACTGTGGCTCAAGTGGTAGAGTGCTAGCCTTGAGCTGAAGAGCTGAGGGACAGCGCCCAGGCCCAGAGTTCAGGCCCCACGACCGGACCCAAAAAAAAAAAAAAAAGAAAATGAATGTACAAATGGATGTACATGCACAGGTTGGGATGTCACCCGCACCATCTTAAAGACACACCAGAAGCGTGGAGGGACATAACGATATCATGCTTAGTGAAACAGGCCAGTCACAAAGAACAAAAGCACCCAGAAGAGGCAAACCCACAAACAGGACAAGCAGGGGCTAGGAGGTAAAAAGGAAACTCCTAGTTTGTTGGGGACAGTTTCAGCTCTGGGAATATTTAACAGTACAATATAAATATGCTATACTGAAAACCACTAACCAAACTGTATACTTAAAAATAGTGTAGAACAGCCAGGAACCAGTGGTTCACCCCTATAGTCCTAGCTACTTAGGAGGCTGAGATCTGAGGATTACGGTTCAAAGTCAGCCCAGGCAGGAAAGTCCATGAGACTCTTATCTCCAATTTACCACCAGAAAACCAGAAGTGGCGCTGTGGCTCAATCCTACCTGGGGACCAAGTCCCAACAAATGACCGACCTTACCCAGTGGTTTCCACTATCCCTTGGCACGCACATACACACACACACACACACACACACACATACCCCTCTGTGCCCTCCACACACACACACACACACACACACACACAAACACACACATCTCCCTTTCTGCCCCTCCTCTGCCCCTCAGAAATACAGCCATGGAAGGATTATTTCTAAATTTCCACTTACTCGTCTTTTAATTCCTGACCACAGAAAACTGTTTTTGGTTCAGAGCTTTTTAAAAAAATACACTTTAAGAAGAAATCCATCAAAAACCAAGCAAAGCACCCAAGCTCCATCTCAAGGTAGTACCTGTACTTCTTCTTCTGCAGCTGCCAGATCATGGTTTCTGAAAGCTCGGTGGCATAGATTTCTTCAAAATGAGGACTCATTATTTTTGTGACTTCTCCATCACCAGCACCTAAGTCAAGCAGTCTGTGGGTTTTCCAATCCGGATTAATTTTAAGTAGTCTCTGGAACTGATCTGGTGAAAACACAAACATTGAGCCTCTTCCTAGCAACCTGCGGGGGGGAAAAAGCGACATAAATGGAAGTCTGTGGAAATGAAGACCCACACACACAAGCACAGTGGCAGGCAGTGACTCAGCACCAACAAGCTTTCAACTGAAAATTTATCTTTTACTTGACTACTATGACTTTTAAAAAGGAAAAGTCAGGCTGGGCATTGGTGGCTCATGCCTAGAATACTAGCTACTCAGGAGGTTGAGATCTGAGGATCATGGTTTAAACCTAGCCTGAACAGGAAAGGCAGAACACTCTTATCTCCAATGAACTGCCAAAAAGCCAGAATTGGTGCTGTTGCTCAAAGTGGTAGAGTGCTAGACTTGAGCTCAGAAACAGTGTCCAGGCCTAGAGTTCAAGCACCAGGACAGACCATCCCCCCACCCCCCACCCCGCAAAAAAAGTGAAGTTAGCAAGGTAAGAAACTTATCTCCATATGATTTGTCTTGTGAGTTGCAAATAATATTCCAAAAGGCACAGGAGTGGGGGGAGCTGACAAGGTGAAGGAAAGGAAGAGGTGGATCAAGGATGAGAGAAGGGTATAGGCAACTTCAGTGAACATAGAAAGAAGAGGTAAAAGCTTGGCAGCAAATACGTGGGCCAGTTAATAAGATGTCAGGTAACTGAATCAGGCACCTCCCTAGATAGCTAAATCATACATAGCATTTGAAAGATGGAACTACTCACCAGATGAGGGGATGAGAAAAAAAGCGATTTGTATAAGACTTTTTTTTGGCCAGTCTCAGGGCATGAACTCAGAGCCTGGGCACTGTTCCTGAGCTTCTTTTGCTCAAGGCTAGCATTCTACCACTTGAGCCACAACACCACTTATGGCTTTTTCTGTTTATGTGGTACTGAGGAATCAAACCCAAGGTTTCATGCGTGCTAGGCAAGCACTCTACCACTAAGCCACATTATTCTAATCCATGTATAATAGACCTTTTAAGAGACCCTTTAGCCGGGCACCGGTGGCTCACGCCTGTAATCCTAGCTACTCAGGAGGCTGAGATCTGACGATCGAGGTTCAAAGGCAGCCCGGGCAGGAAAGTCTGTCAGACTCTTATCTCCAATAAACCACTAGAAAACGGGAAGTGGCACTCAAGCGGTAGAGCTCTTGCCTTGAGCTGAAGAGCTGAGGGGCAGTGCTCAGGACCAGAGTTCAAGCCCCACAACCAACAAAAAAAAAAAAAGGAAAAGATCAGGTGAATTGGCTCACTCCTGCAATCCAGGCTACAAAGAGAAAATGAAGATCAGGAGGTTTAACAAGAACAGTCCTGGCAACAAGTAAGCAAGAGCCTGCATCTCAAACAATAAAGCTGGGTGTGGTGGTCTTCACCTATAATGGGAGAGGCATAAACAGGAAGATTGTGGTTCTAGGCTAGTCTGAGTAAAACTATGAGACCCTATTTGAAAAATAACTTTAAAAAATTAGAAAAGAAAAGGAGTTGGAATGTAGCACCAGTGGTAGAGCACCTGCCTAGCAAGCAGAAGGCTCTGAATTTAAACACTAGTATTGGAGGAAAAAAAAAAAAAAGTGGTCCTTAGATTTATACTTGCTTTTTCATGCAAGGCTGGTGTTCTACCACTTGTGCCACTGCGCTACTTCTGGCTTTTTGCTGATGAACTGGAAATAAAGAGTCTCATGGACTTTTTTGTTCAGACTGGCTTCAAACCTCAATCCTCAGACCTCAGCCTCCTGAGTAGCTAGGATTCTAGGCATGAGCCACTGGCACCCAGCCCTAAACAACTTTTCAGGCGACAGAAATATCTTTGAAAAGAGACTGAGAAAAGTTAAGTGGAGATGGACGAGAACCCTCAGAGAAGTAGCTATATGGCTCAAGTGTCTCAGAAACCTGACCTTGGGAAGGAATGGCACTCCACAGCTAGCACCAGGCTAGTCTAAACCCTGCTGTGGGGGGCACAATTCTGCAACTTCCTTTAAGGGGCGGAGCATTTCCTTAAACAAAGCCAGAAGTCACACTAAGGATGAGCCTGAGGGGCAGCTGCAGCTGCAGGGAGGCTGAGCCTGGAGCTGGGACCCACCACTTCCAGAATTCCTTTACAGCCAGAACAGCTCCCATGCCCCTTGTCACCCCTGGGAAACACAGTGCAATGTCCAGGTCTAGGAAGGGCTGGGAAATGGGGACTGCACTTCCACTTTCTGGAAACCATCAGTGTCAAAGATACTTGCTACACAGGGGCAGACCTGTGGGGCTTGCGGTAAACCAGCTGCAGGGAGGAATTACAGTGAAGTTCCAGTCACAGGGCCTCTCCTCTGTGCCCATTAAAGACTTGCACCAAATTTCATAAACTAGTTACAGTAAATGCTTTTTTATATTGAAATATTTCGAAGCTAATTTCTTATGTGACTTCTTTGCAAGACCCAAAGGAAAGCAGGGCACTGGGGGCTCATGCCCGTAAGCCTAGCTACTCAGGAGGCTGAGATCCGAGGATCACAGTTCAAAGCCAGCCAGGGTAGAAAGTGTGTGAGACTCTTGTCTCCAATTAACCACCAGAAAACCGAATGTGGAGCTGGGGCTCAAGTGATATAGAGTACTAGCCTTAAGTAAAAAGCAGCTTAGGAACAGTACTCAGGCCCCGTGTTCAAGCCCTAGAACCAGCTTACTACTAATAATAATAGTAATAGTAGTAGTAGTAATAGTTTTATATATATATATATATATACACACACACATATATATGTATATATGTCAACAAATGAACTGGAAAATGAAATATCACAGTTCTAGGGACAGACAGGTATCATAGTACTTGGAAACAGAAATGTTCTTACCTAAATGTTGGCCAAATTAAGTGGTATATTTAAAACTGTAATGGTAGCCATTCTAGCTCGCATAGGAATAAACTTTCTTTTCTTTTCTTTTTTTTAGATCAGAGACCAAGACTTGAACTCGGTATCTGCCACTTTCACTCACTGGCTAACACTTTGACCAACTGAGCCAAGCCTCCAAACCCCAGGAGTAAAATTTCTATACTACAGGGGCAGGAGTAATCCCACCAATAAGGGGCCAAGTGAATGGAAAAAAATAAAAGCTAAGTGCATTAAAGAAAAGGAAATGCCATAAACTATTGCTTGTTATGATGGGAATATTTCTATTAAAATGCTTTCATTTGAAAACAGTAATATATTTTCAGTAAGTGGCAAAAAGGGGCGTGGGGGACCCCAGAGTCACCTGACCAGGATGCTATAAACTGTGTGGATTCACCAAAGACAACCACACCTCATTAACACAAGCTGTTTCTGACCTCAGTTTTGGTGTATTCTAGTAGAAAAACAAGCACATCTAACCAAGTCTGAACTTCCTGGAACAGATGTTCATTGTTCATTCAGTCCCAGCTGGAAGGGACTACAGGCAACACCACAGACAGGCAGTTAAGTTTCAAGTCCTGTCATTCTGCTTTAAAGCTTCCCAAGCCATCTCCTTAGTGGGGAGGAACTCTCACGTGACACTTAGAAAATTCTATAGCTCTAGATCATCTAAGTCAGAGCGCACAATGTCACCTGATTGTAGACAATGGGGGAAGGAGAGTACTGTACTACTTCCAAAGACACGAGTAATAGAGGCTCCATGAAAAGATCAATAATATTAAAAAATAAATCAAGGCCAGGCACAGTTGTACATACCTACAATACCAGCTGCTTGGGAGACAGACATGGGGAGGACTGCAGTCCCAGACCAGCCTCACTGCAACAGTTAACCTGGGTCTAGAGATATACAACTATAATCCCAACCATGAGGAAGAACAGGTGAATCACAGTCCAAGGCCAATCATGAGAGGGCAAAACATGAGAGGGGGGAGAGAAAAAAAAGAGCAAAAAAGACTGGGGCATAGCTCAAGTGGAACCCCTGAGTTCAAAACCCAGAATGCTAGGGCTGGGAAGGTGGCTCAGTGGTAGAGTGCTGGCCTTGCATGCATGAGGCCCTGGGTTCGATTCCTCAGCGCCACATAAGCAGAAAAAGCTAGAAGTGGCGCTGTGGTTCAAGTGGTAGAGCACTAGCCTTGAGCTGAAAAGCTGAGGGACAGCGCCCAGGCCCAGAGTTCAGGCCCCACGACCGCCAAAAAAAAAAAAAAAACAAGGGGACAAAACCCAGAATGCTAAAAAAATAATCCAAAATCATGAGCTTAGTGTGTTGCTCAATCAGGACAGACTTTGTCCTCTAGGGGACAGTGGGTAGTTTTAATCTAACGAGGCAACACCAGGAAAATCAGACTTCTGGAGTTGCATGGCAAAGTCTAACACAATAAAAACCGGGTCTAACACAATAAAAACTGGGGGCTCACGCCTGTAATCCTAGCTACTCAGGAGGCTGAGCTCTGAGGATCCAGGTTCAAAGCCAGCCCAAGCAGGAAAGTCCATGAGACTCTTATCTTCAATTAACTACCAAAAAACCGAAGTGGTGCTGTGGCTCAAGTCTTACCTTGAGCTGAAGAGCTCAGGGTCAGCGCCCAGGCCCAGAGTTCAAGCCCCACAACTGAAAGAAAAAAAAAAAAAAAGGCCCTAGCTATAATAGCAACATTTGCAGAGCAAGGTTTCTGGTAAGCACACACTGTAGAGAGTTGTGCTTTTTTCTTTTTGCTTATGTGGTGCTGAGGAATCGAACCCAGGGCCTCAGGCATGCAAGGCAAGCATTCTACCACTGAGCCACCTTCCCAGCCCTGTCCATGAGATTCTTATCTCTAATTAACCATTCAAAAACCAGAAGTGGAGCAATGGCTCGAGTAGTAGAATGCTAGCCTTGAGTGAAAAAGCTAAGGGACAGCACCCAGGCCCTGAGTTCAAACCCCAAGACTGGCATTAAAAAAAAAAAAAAGGCTAGGAAAGAATCAAACTAAGTAACTAAGAAGACTACCAAGACTACTTGACAAGTTGGAGTAAATTTAAGCCTAAGAATAGAAAGCCACACAGTGGACTGACAGCCAAAGATTTTGACAAGTATTTTAGCTGAGGTGATCAATATCTAATGTGCTGGCTAATTTTCCTCTTTACTTTTTAAACTTTTTAAAAAAGACAAGGTCCAGCATTCACTTACCCATTGATAGACGTTCTAGACATAAACAGGCTAAAAACAGATGACACAAAAGAGTGATATAACTGGATGAACAGCCAGCCGGATTTCTCAATGCTGTTGTTTAGGAAGATCTGTGTCCCTTGATCGAGGTAACTCTGAACAAAGACGGCCTGAAGTGACTCGCATAACTTCTCTCTGTTGCACACATACCACTAAAAAGAAATAAAAATTAAAAAACACAATGTCACCTAAGAAATTCAAAAACAAATGAAAAGAAAATGACTCAAATCAAATTTAAGATTTCAAATACTACAGTCTCATGGACTTTGAGATCGTACCATGAATATTAACTGTCATCTTTTAAGCCTATGTTGGCCTGTGAAAGGAGCAAACATTTCTTCAGACATGACTTTTCACTTGATTCCAGTCTCAACCCTCCAGGCAGGTGGCAGAAGAAAGGGGAGAGTGAGAAGACCTTGTTTTTCTGGGTTTTTGTTTTTTTAAGGGGGATTGTTTCATTTTGTGTCATTACTGGGGCTTAAAATCAGAGTCTCCTGCTCTTGCTTGTTTTTTGTTTGTTTTTTACACACAGTTGGCACTCTACTACTTGAGCTACAGCTCCACTTCCGGTTTTTTGCTGGTTAGTTGGAGGTAAGAGTCGCACAAACTTTTCAGTGCTAGCTAGCTTCAAACTGTGATCCTCAGATCTCAGCCTCCTGAGTAGCTAGGATCAAAGGCATGAGTCCCCAGCACCTACCCAGAAACAGACTTTTTAGAACAAAATTCAAAAGCTTAAACTGTAAATAAAATTTTATCTTCCATGATAATGTTTTCCATTTCTCTGAGTTAGTGTACCAGATAAGTGAATTGGGAAAGCCGACTGTACATGGCCGTAAACTCAGCAAGTCCCCTAATCCAAGCCTCTCTTCACTCACCTGCAGACTAGAGAGGCATCTGTCTATCCTGACTGGGAACTGGGAGGATTAAACAAAACCACAGAGCCAGGCACTGGTGACTCAGGCCTGTAATCCTAGCTACTCAGTAGGCTGAGATCTGAAGATTGCAGTTCAAAGCCAGCCAGGCAGGAAAGGCTATGAGACTCTTATCTCCAATAAACCACTCAGAAAACCAGAAGTGGTGCTCAAGTGGTGGAGCACTCACCTTGAGCTGAAGACCTGAGGGATAGCACCCAGGCCCAGAGTTCAAGTCCCATGACCAACCAAAAAAAAAACCAAAAAACACAGAACATGCAGTGAGAATTCTGTGACAACAAGGTTGCTCTAATGTCACTGATAAGTGAGCCCAGAATGGACCACCACGTAGCTCAAAGTGAGCCATTCATCCAAACCTGCTAGGAATCACCCAGTTCTTCCCACAAGATAACTTGTCTCTCTCTGACAAGTAGAGCCATGTGTCAGCAGCAGGAGTCCTGTAACATCTTGCAAAACTGGTGGACCAATTTAACAGCCACCCTAGCTTGCTAAATGAAATCTTGAGTAACATCCCTGACGCTAACATTAAAAGGAACTGACACTAACATTAAGGAACTGGTTATTGTTCACACCTGGAATCCTAGCCACTCAAGAGGATGAGATGTGAGGATCATGCTTCAAAGGCAGCCTGGGCAGATAAATCCAAGAGACACTTATTTGCAAGTAGCCAGCAAAAAGCCTGAAGTGGAGCTGTGGCTCAAGTGGTAGAGCGCTAGCCTTGAGGTAAAGAGCTGAGGGACAGTGCCCAAAGTTCAGGCCCATGACTGGACCCAAAAACAAACAAATAAACAAACAAAAAGATAAGTGACAGGGCCCAGGCCCCAAGTTCAAGCCCCAGTACTGACATCAAAACAAAGGGGAAGAGAAACCAGTTACAAAGCAACAAAAGAGCACAATACATCTCAAAGATTTATCATTTTACAAACACTGTACTCCAAACTAGATAACAAATCTTTCCAGTAGCTGACTTCTTTAACAATGGTTACTACCAGAATTTTCTTGGATTTTGCATACAACTCTTCCTTTTCCCCACTGACAGGACAAGCTACAAAGCTTCCTACATTCAGTGCTACACTTTTTTCCTCAGTCTGCAAGTGCTCTGGCTCAAACATTTTTTTTTTTTTTGGTCTGTCATGGGGCTTGAACTCTGGGCCTCAGCGCTCCCCCTGCGCTCTTCAGCTCAAGGCAAACTCTCTACCACTTGAGCTACAGCAACACTTCTGGTTTTCTAGTGGTTTATTGGAGATAAGATTCTCATGGACTTTCCTGCCCAGGCTGGCTTTGAACCATGACCCTCAGGTCTCAGCCTCTGAGTAGCTAGGATTACAGGTGTGAGCCACCAGCACCCGGCCATTTACTTAAGACATCTTGTGTCACAGTTCTATTTCAGTATAGGACATGAGCTGTGTTAATATACTTAGGTCCTCGTGGGGCAATTCAGTATTCTCTATGATGGAGGCCACTCTGGAGCTTGAACTCAGGGCCTGGGTGCTGTCCCTGAGCTTCTTTTGCTCAGAGCTATTGCTCTACCATTTGAGCCACAGCGCCACTTCCAGCTTTTTCTGAGATTTAGTAGAGCTAAGAGTCTCACAGACTTTCTTGCCCAGGCTGGCTTCAAGCTGTGATCCTCAGATCTCAGCCTCCTGAGCAGTTAGAATTACAGGTGTGAACCACCAACATCTGGCTCACTCACTGTTGATTCTCCAGAATGCCTACTACAGAAGACAAAAACCACTACCTGGATGACAGACAATGTGCCCATACTGGAGTTTGAACTCAAGCACTGTTCCTTAGCTTTTCACTCAAGGTTGTATCATTTTGAGCAGTAGCTCCATGCTTCATCTCACATTTGGCTTTTTGTTGGTTAATTGTAGTCTCATGAACTTCTTGCTTGGGCTGGCTTCCAGCTACAAATAGAGTTTTGTTGAAACAGTCACCATGTTCATTCTTCTGTAGTCAGTGAGTGCTTCCAGCTAGAGCAGAAAAGCACCGGCTACACTGTGGTCCACACACCTATATGGTTCACTCTTGGTCTTCACAAATGGAAAAGTTTCTTACAAGGAAAAAGGTTTTCCAAGAGTCCCCAGTGCAGCAAGCAACTGCAGCTGCCAGCTCGAAAATGCAAGAAGCAGCGTGGTTAGATGAACTGTCTGGGGAGAAATAAAGCCAGACAAGAGAAATGAGCGGCCGTCACATTTTACTGTAGGCACACTTGGAACAAAAATGGAAAGCAACAGACTGCAGGGCTGGGAAGATGGCTCAGTGGTGGAGCGCTTGCCTTGCATGCCTGAGTCCCTCGATTCGATTTCTCAGCACCACATAAGTAAAATGTAAAAAGCCGGAAGTGGCGCTGTGGCTCAAGTGGTAGAGCGCTAGCCTTGAGCTGAAGAGCTGAGGGACAGTGCCCAGGCCCAGAGTTCAGGCTCCAAGACCGGACCCCCCCACCCAAAAAAATAAATAAATAAATAAATAAACACACTGCAGCAGGGTCTTTTTTGATCGTACCTAGTACTTGAGTGAAAACAAGTGCTCTGGAGCTCTTGAACCTGAAAGGACCCATAAATCCTGCTAACTAGGTTATTGATAAAAATAAATTAAAAAAAAAAGTCATTGACAGCCTCTCAATTGATGACCTATAGAAATCATTATAAAACTTGCTGCAAGCCGGGCACCAGTGGCTCACGCCTGTAATCCTTGCTACTCAGGAGACTGAGATCTGAGAATCGTGGTTCAAAGCCAGCCTGGGTAGGAAAGTCCATGACACTCTCATCTCCAATTAACCACCAGAAAACTGGAAGTGGCGCTGTAGCTCAAGCAGTAGAGCACTCGCCTTGAGCTGAAGAGTACAGGGACAACTCCCAAGCCCAGAGTTCAAGCCCCACGACCGACCAAAAAAAAAAAAATTTTTTTGCTGCAACCAAACCATGGCAATCTTCTCCGGGGACAGATTCCAAAGGTTTTAAACTTTTATTTTTTTTTTAAATACTGCTACTGGGGTTTGAGCTCAAGGCCTCAGCACAGTCCTTAGCATTTAAACTCATGATTGGCACTCTCTACCACTTGAATCACACCTCCACTTCTAGTTTTTGTGGGGTTTTTTGTTCAGTCATGGGGCTTGTACTCTGGGCTTGGGTGCTGTCCCTGCACTCTTCAGCTCAAGCTAGCGCTCTACCACTTGAGTCACAGCGCCACTTCCAGCTTTATCTGTTTATGTGGTGCTGAGAATCAAACCCAGGGCCTTGTGCATGCGAGGCAAGCACTCTACCACTGAGCCAACTTCCCAGCCCCACTTCTAGCTTTTTGGTGGTTAACTAGAGATAGGACATAGGAGTCTCACAGTCTCTCAGGCTGCCTTCAAGCTGCAGTCCTCACATCTCAACCTTCCCAGTAGCTAGGATTACAGGTGTGAGCCATCAGTGCCATCTGTCGATGATGGGGCTTGAATTCTGGGCCTGGGCACTGTCCCTCAGCTCTTCAGCTCAAGGCTAGTGTTCTACCACTTGAGACACAGTATCACTTTTAGTCTTCTGGTGGTTAATTGGAGATAAGAGCCTTAAAGACTTTCCTGGCCCAGGCTGGCTTTCAACCAGGATCCTCAGATCTCAGCCTCCAGAGTAGCTAGGATTACAGGCATGAGTCACCAGAGCCCAGTGCCTATTTTTTTGTGTGTGTGTGTGTCCGGTCGTGGGGCCTGAACTCTGGGCCTGGGCACTATTCCTCAGCTCTTCAGCTCAAGGCTAGCGCTCTACCACTTAAGCCACAACGCCACTTCCGGGTTTTTTCTTTTTGTTGAGGAATCAAACCTAGGGCCTCAGGCATGCAAGGCAAGCGCTCTACCACTGAGCCACCTTCCCAGCCCACCTATTTTATTTTTTAAAGCACCTATAACATTCAAAAACTTATCATTCATTAGATTGCATCAAAAGATGTAACTTAGCTGGGCGCTGGTGGCTCACGCCTGTAATCCTAGCAACTCACAGGGTTGATATCTGAGGATCGCAGTTCAAACTCAGCCTGGGCCAGGAAAGTCTTTAAGGCTCTTATCTCCAATTAACCACCAAAAGACTAAAAGCGGCACTGTGTCTCAAGTGGTAGAGCACTAGCCTTGAGCTGAAGAGCTGAGGGACAGTGCCCAGGCCCAGAGTTCAAGCCCCAAGACTAACCCCCTCCCCTCCCAAAAAAAGATGTAACTTAAAATTACAAAATATGTACATATTTGT